TATTTCATCGTAATATTATTTGATCATACTTTGGTACAATTGTACTGAATATTCGCAGCGTAATATTATAAGGACATTGCATAAAAATATGTTGGAAAAAATTGTTTGCAGTAAGAAAAAAATAATTGCTCTTTTGCTCATATATTTTTATATCTATTGTGATTGTGATACTAATTATTTTGAGAACAATCACGTTCTGAAATTTTTGATTAGTCGTTGATTGATTGAAAAAAAATATCTGCTATAATAAAGCTTTATTACAAATCTTTAATTCTTCCTCTTTTTATTATTTATATCTATTGTCAATTTTTGAATTTTTTAAATGTAATCCGTCGTGCAGAACATCCGAAAGGAATGTCTTCGTCTTAAAGATAAGAATACAATAGTCCCTGAAAGAAGGTAAAATATATCTGTGACACTTGCAGACGCTTCGATATCTTTCCCATGTTAATTTTATTCTTACGGGAAGTATTCGTCCGGCGTGCGATGGTTGGCCGTAGGACTATTAATAAAAATTTCCCGAGTTTTATTCTCTCTTGCCCGACCGCACCCCGTAAACCGGGGGCTCGGCAGGCTGACTCTACCGTTCTTTCTTTATTTCTTTTAGCTTCTCTTTATGACTACCAACCTCTTCTTCTTCGCGCCATCCTTCTCGTCGCTTTTCCTCCCTCGACCTTGCTCGGACGTTCGCGAATGTAAGTGCAGCAAAAATTCTTCTCGCGAGTATCGCAAAACCCGCGCCATTAATTTTAAATCCAAGTAAGTCACCTCTGCCGGGGACAGTGACTAATGACTCATATAACCGGTGCGCGCGCGGTACAGCCAGACGGTCCAGCCGTCTCTTTAGCCACGAGAAGAAGCGCCGAGGGGACCGATCTTCGCTGAGAGGCGTCGAGGGTGTGCTTCGTGATTCATAGAGTCTAACTTTTCTCGCCCCCTCGAGGTTTGAAGAGTTCGTGTGGTACCTAGGATGACTGATTATTATCTCGTCACTTGTCTCGCAGGCACGGTGTTTAGCGCGTGCTGCGCGGCAGGCTGATTTGTCGTGACGCTAATTACGAAATCCTGTCAGAAGATTTTAATTGTTTTCCTTTTAGAGCGACATACAAAAGGATTAACTGCAGTCGAACGATATTTTCGGTTATATCAATTTATTCTTGTTGAAAAATACAATCGTATACTATTAAATAATAAAGTAAACAGGCCAAAAGTTTCGACTATTATAAAACTCTTAAACACGACTTACGGTAAGAGTTAGACTGTTAAAGTAAACGGCGCGTTTGCGCTTAGAATATTTCGAGTTACTAACGTTTATTGCGTTTTTATTAGCATTACAACGTGATTAAGAAACTGCATAAGTAACGCCGTACGAATTAACATTATGTAAATAAGCCGCTACCTGCGTAACGGAAATAGTCGCAGATAGCGGCTTAGTTTACGCATAAAGTCGCATGTTGTCGTATCTCGACCCGGAAGATCTCGCAGAAAATCCGCGCCGGTCATAAATATACCGAGATGAACAATTCGCTCTGCAACTTTGTATTTAATCGTCCGTCCGGCCGCTCGCCCGTCCCACCGAGCCGATCCTTCATAACCCACGGAGTACTAACTCGCGGAACAACGGGGGAAACTCCGATAAGTCGTACGAACTACGTAATCCGCACTCGAGTTTCCTGAAATCTCCGGCAACGTCCTTGGCTCCCAGTCGCTTTGCGAACTTATCCATCGAACGATTTGTCGGTATTATCGAATTTGCATGAATCCATCGGTACTCGAAGACTTTCACATTCGAATCCGAGGAAAAGCTTATACGGCGCCGATGCGTAATGCCCTCGACGTCAAGAACACGTCGGGCGAATTCGTAAGCCAAAAGCAACATAAGGACACCGTTTGCATAGAAAATATTGCATAAGTAGAGACGGCGGTTTTATCGTTTCTGAAATACTCTTCCCCGATTTTCGGGTTGTGCCTGAATCGTATATGCTCGTATTCTCGCGTTGACACGTTATACCCCTTATAAATAGTCCTCTCGCTATTTTTCTTGACGTCTCTTTTTTCAAGAATGTCTCTCACGTTCATGTTTTTCAAGATGGTATAAATGCCAGCGGGATTAAATATGAAGAGCAGATTAAATAATCGAAAGATATGGTAGAGAACTTAAATTGTGCTCATCACGTATTTAAAAGCGTATTGAGCGAGATTACATTGACGTGTATGAAGAAAATCGAAAAAGCCCTTTATAAAAGATTTCGTCGTCATTTGCTTTACATTCGCCAGCCATGCTTGCGTATTTACGAAAAAACTTACATGTGTGTGAAGCGTATTTTCCTCTTCAAGCAATCCCGTTATATATAGTTTTCTCATAGCGATCTCATCTTTGCATTCTATCATTTTATTGACAATTCTATTATTATAATAATATTTTCTGTTATATTTGTATAAAATACAAAAATAATATGACGTCGTAAGCCATAGACAAAGGACTTATGCTATTGCTTGTGTTTTTATTACATTGCATGTCACCATAATATATTGTCATCTTAAAAAATTTATTAATTTTTACCATGCATTCTCCGTGAATATTTTACGTGCAATATATCAGTAATTCAATAATGTGCAGAGAAACAGACATTGTAAAATTTTATAATTCATATTACCAAAAGATATTATAATATAAGAATCATAGAGCGCGAATGTGTATGTTATAATAGTAAACAGTTGGCGAAAGACACGCAACCTTTTGAACATGAAACGCGACGGTATCTTATCGGATCGGAATGAAAAGGCAATGAATTGTTGAACATTCGTACGCTTATATTCGCAGCCATAGAGTATTACGAGGCAGAAATAGGGAGGCATGCGATCGAAAGACACACCGCCGGCGAAAGGACGAACATTTCGTTATTGCTTGTCCGCGGCGCGATAGAACAATTATGAAGTGATATGTATGGGGAGGGTCTGAATATTCAACGCGAAACATGCTATTAGCTTCCTCTCATGGTGAGGCTTGACGTAGCGAGTTAGGTCGCCGACGAGTCACTTCACGCACACAGGCTATTCATCATAGCTAGTGTAATGAAAGCTAATTTATTGTTGGCACTTTCAAGAGTCTTAAGAAAAGCGATATATATACGATATATCGACTAGTTAATCGGTGCGATTATTGCCCAAGGTGTTACATGTGTAGTAATATCGAAAAACCATTCTACTATAATTTATATAAAGTCGTTCTAAATTCAATTTCTTTTATTATAGAATCTTATATACATATAATTAATATGGAATCTATATATTGTAACATATAAAGTTATTTATAGACCTTCTTAATTTATAGATTTTTTTAAATATTTCGAATAAGATAAATTTTATTCGAAATATTTTTTAGAGGTCTATTATTTAAAAAAAAAAAAACTATATGTGTATGAGTGTGTACACTTAAATCAAGAATATTGTATAATTGAAATACAATTTTTTTCCAGTATATAATTTATCATTTCCAGATTGAGAAAGTAAAATAATACTTGAATCGCCGGATTAAATGATTTAAATAATGATGTAATGTACCGGTTTATAGTGATAATCGATTAAAAATTCGAGGAAAGGATATTCGGTATAAAGTTATAAAGCGTTAAATATTCGATATAATGGTTTATTTATATTTTTATTTCAGCGCGAGATATAATACATCGGCTGGTATGTAGCCTTGAAGTTTGTTTACAACGCGTATGTGTACATATATACGCGTGCTACGTACGTATGTTGTGTTATAATATTTGCGGCAACACTCGAGTCGACAGATAGTGATTCAGTGCGTCTGGTATACGAAGGGTTTGTCGCGTCTTTATCCCGATTTTATTATCGTCATCGAAGACCATACTTCTGATACGGATAAAATAAAATTTTATTTTGAAATGTTGCTAGACAATGTTTTCACGCCATATGCGTCATAGTACGAGATAATACCGACCGCATGAATATTTATGTACATGTGTGTACATGTCGCACGGTTTTGAATTTAGGCTCAATATTCGGTTGATTAAGAGCACGCTCTGCTTTGACAAAGGGCTCGGCTCGAATCGATTAAAGTTCGGACGATTGTATTGGAATCGTCGTTAAATCCCTTCTCTTGTACCGTCTACCAGCCATATATATCGCGTTAATGAGTTGACTTAATTGCTTAGGTCAATTTTTTTATCTCGCTACGAGAGGGTGTGCTCCCATTTCTTAGATTGTTTAGAGCTTAAGCGAGTTCGAGTCGTCCTGAGATGCGAATATGCGTGGAGACAATAGCAAATCCCATTCTCGCCGATCGCATCGATTGAATCCGTCTTCTTCTGCTTCGGGCTTAAACCTTGTTCGAAATTATTGTTGCTATCCCGATTTGTTGGCTTGATGTGCGAAATGGGATATTGGTTCGCGATTACGGTATTCAGAAGTGCCGACAAGTATCGCGTGTTCGTTTTTATCGTGAATTTGGAGTACCGAGAAAAGCGTCACGCGTTCTTTTTATCATACCGCGTAATAAACTGTAATGAAATAAATTCTTCGCGAGTGAACTATATAAATTGTATAAGCTTTTCGCGAGTGAATATGTAACGTGTGATTCAATGGACTTTGACGCCCCCTTGATAACCTGAGGAGGAAGAGGCTTAAGAAAGGCATCGGGCGCCGGCGAAACAACCCTAAGGGGTGAATAATTTATTATTTAATTATTAGTTGTTATTAACTATGTATGCGTATTAATTTTATTATTTTATTTGTTTGATTTAAATCAGATCTTGAGAAAGATTTAGAGAAAATAATGATGTTATATATATGTTATAGGATATTTGAGATAAAAACTAATATTTAAAAAGAATCTCAAAAATTATTATATATTTATTTTATGAAATATCTGCTTATAATTGTACGCATCGAATATTTGACGCGTACAATATTTTTTAAAAGTAAGTATTAATTTGGCGCTATTATAATTTAGATCTTATATTTGTATGTTACAGATGAACATGCAGTCAACTCCGCTGCTGCGCATCGACCGGTGAGTAATAAATTTTAATTTTATGGTAAAAATGCCAAGTATATATAACGTCTTATTTTTTTATTTTCTTAAATTTCTATTTGCTGCACAAAAATTCGCATATTTTTTTATATACTTGGTTTATTTTTACCCTTTTTCATAATATTTGCATGGCTTTATAAATTTCTCTCGAAAACACGAGTCCACTCAAAGAATTTGTTCGAGACGAAAAGAAATGTCGTGAACCTGAGTCAGCACGAGTATTACCGAGCAGCATATGACCGGATACGATCGATATGCATATTATGAACTCACGGCACATCTGAGCGAGCAAAGAGCGGTGCGTAAACAAACACGGTAGGTTACAGCCGGTGCGTTACGTGTCGAAAGATTAACTCACCGAGAAATTGAACGGCACTAAAGCGGATACGCGCCGTTAATAAAAGCGAGTTATGAGCTGAATTTCGCGCTGCCGCGTGTCTCTCGTCGGCGCGTTTCCGCGAAGCGATAAACGAAGAGCCGGTTCTCCCCAGTGCGAATTTTACGTACGTGCATAGGACGTCGTTGTGTTACGCGCGCGCGCGTGTCGGTACGATAACGTCGGAATAAAAGTTCGCGGAGCATCTGGATCATGCGGCTGGTTACGGCTGGTAGTAGGCGAAGATAGCTCCATGAGTAGACGGGCGACCGCGACGGGGATGCGACGGGGCGGCTCCCCCGATCCTCGTTTCACCAGCATCCCGCGAACCGCAGTTAAAAGCACGAGCTATAAATCAGAGTGGTGAAGGAGACGAGGACGGAGAAACAGATGTAGACCGCAAATGGCTGGACGTATAGTCGCGCGTATAAGGGTGAGCGAATGACGTATAGGAGTAACACGACAGTAGGAGGAACGGGCGGGGGTTTGGGGACGCAAGGAAAATACGGCAGGAGGATGATGCTATAAACTGGGCCGAGCGACGATGTCGTTTCGCATTTTAGTGTGTGGAATTAATTAAAATGCATATTAAACGAGCCGAGACACGGTGACCCTTGCTTGGCTTCTCCGCCAAATTGAAGCGAACTTATTCTCCCCCCCGTCATCCGTCCATCTTCGTCGTCTCTTTTAATAACCGACCGACCGTGTCCACACCGTTCTTTTTCATCGTCTACTTTCGCGGTCTGGTTTTCTTACTTACTCTCGTCCTATCTCGAATCACATAATGTCCCTTGATATTACCGTTTCTTTAAGCCGATTTTTTCTCGATCCGCAATAATGCTTCGCTTACATTTGCGTGCTGTAAAGATATTCATACTTTGAACTTATCGTGCCTTGCGAGAAGCCGCGAAACAAAATATTAACCCATTAAAGCCACTAAAAGCTTCGTAAATTTACACCTTATAAGATTATCCGGATGTAAATATTCGCAACACAATTTAAGTAACATATACATATGCGGCGATGTAGATTGATTGTGAGTCGGATAAGATAACGGACAAGATACGAGATGACGAGTTTGTAATTTGGATTTTTTGAGAAATATACCCAAATCGTTGAAATTCTTACGTCAAGCACAATATTTTATAGCGTGATTGCGCATTTATTCGCGATATGCAAAAGTGCAAGGTTGTTTTGTCACCGTGTGTCAAAAATTCGAAGAATTCAATATTTTATTCGAGATTATGAAATCGTTGCTTTGGCAGGGTCGCTCCGAGCAATTTCTCATTGTCTGCAAATAGTATTGACAATCTATGCCAAAACTAGGAATTTTCGTTTAACTGTTCTCGTGCGAACGGCTCGTCGAAAGGCGATCGCAAACTTCAAAGGTACCCGCGCAGCAGTCGATTGCATACCTCGAGAAATTCCAGGAGTTCCGCGAAATCTCTCGCCCGTTTGCCTTAATATCAATGAAATTGAATGTCCTTTTGAGATGCGTCCTTGGCTGACAGTAATAAAAGGTAATAAATTGATGAAGGGTATGACAATTGGGTTCTCTAGTGCGCTTTAATGTGTATCTCGCGCGTTATTTATTAAACAGCATGTAATAAAATTGACTTGATTTATTTAGAGAGAAGAAACACTAAAAGAAAGAAAGAGAGAGTTTTGCTAATAAAAAAAGAAATGGTCTGGTTTTCTTACTTACTCTCGTCCTATCTCGAATCACATAATGTCCCTTGATATTACCGTTTCTTTAAGCCGATTTTTTCTCGATCCGCAATAATGCTTCGCTTACATTTGCGTGCTGTAAAGATATTCATACTTTGAACTTATCGTGCCTTGCGAGAAGCCGCGAAACAAAATATTAACCCATTAAAGCCACTAAAAGCTTCGTAAATTTACACCTTATAAGATTATCCGGATGTAAATATTCGCAACACAATTTAAGTAACATATACATATGCGGCGATGTAGATTGATTGTGAGTCGGATAAGATAACGGACAAGATACGAGATGACGAGTTTGTAATTTGGATTTTTTGAGAAATATACCCAAATCGTTGAAATTCTTACGTCAAGCACAATATTTTATAGCGTGATTGCGCATTTATTCGCGATATGCAAAAGTGCAAGGTTGTTTTGTCACCGTGTGTCAAAAATTCGAAGAATTCAATATTTTATTCGAGATTATGAAATCGTTGCTTTGGCAGGGTCGCTCCGAGCAATTTCTCATTGTCTGCAAATAGTATTGACAATCTATGCCAAAACTAGGAATTTTCGTTTAACTGTTCTCGTGCGAACGGCTCGTCGAAAGGCGATCGCAAACTTCAAAGGTACCCGCGCAGCAGTCGATTGCATACCTCGAGAAATTCCAGGAGTTCCGCGAAATCTCTCGCCCGTTTGCCTTAATATCAATGAAATTGAATGTCCTTTTGAGATGCGTCCTTGGCTGACAGTAATAAAAGGTAATAAATTGATGAAGGGTATGACAATTGGGTTCTCTAGTGCGCTTTAATGTGTATCTCGCGCGTTATTTATTAAACAGCATGTAATAAAATTGACTTGATTTATTTAGAGAGAAGAAACACTAAAAGAAAGAAAGAGAGAGTTTTGCTAATAAAAAAAGAAATAGCAAAAAAGTTATGAAAAATTTTATTTATTAAAGATTTATTTGCAAGAAAAAAATAAATTCTGAGAAATATATTCTTTATATTTGATTTACCTTTAGAGCTACAGTTACACCGCGTAGTTTCGAATATTAATAATAACAGCAATAGGCTCAGGGTAAGAATAATTAAATGAAAAAACTGGCAGATAAGAGCCTAGGTGCGGGTATCGGTGCGCGAACTTATTATTGTTAAATTCAATTAACTAATATGCATTAAAAATGTATGTTTCCGGCCGTTTTTTGGTCCTCAGCATGGATGTAAATATATAAAGATTAAATTGGAATTTTAAAATTTGACATGCATAACATTTGCAGTTGCAGTCAAATTTTAAATTAAAAATAATTATCAGAAAGAAGACTCACTAAAACCTGCGTGGAATCTGTACAAATAAATATATCCACTTATTTGTACAGATTCCACGCGTGTTTTAGTGAGCCTTCTTTCTGATAATTATTTTTAATTAGAAATTTGACTACAACTGCAAATGTTGTGCATGTCAAGTTTTAAAATTCCAATTTAATCTTTATATATTTATATCCATGCTGAAGATGGACCAAAAAACGGTCTGAAACGTACATTTTTAACGCATATTAATTAATTGAATTTGACAATAATAAGTTTGCGCACCCGATATTCGCGCGTTTGGGCTCTTATCTACCAGTTTTTCCATTTAATTGTTCGAATATTAACTAAACTCTCAAAAAAATTTGATCGCATCGGTGTCGTCGTCGTGAATATTCTCTCTTTCTCCGCGAATACTCTCTCGTTTAAACTTGTCATATTCCAATTGCCAACGGACGGAATCTTTCGTGGATTCGTACTGGGGATGATGTTGTTCTCTGTTTCGATAAAGCGTTATAATTCATCGTTTGTTTTCGTGGTGCGCATGCAGCTAACACGTTCCCATATGGCGGTCATGAAAGTGCACTCAGCACCACCGATCCTCATGCATAATCATATATTTACAGTGCGGGGATAACCTCCACTTCGTCGTTTCCGCGATTTCGTACCCCCTTTCCATGCCTCCCGCACGCCCATCCTTGTTATCTACCCCTTCGCGCGCGGACATACCGGCGACGAGCGCATATGCCGCTCTGTCGCTGCTTTAATTAAATATTTGCATATAGAGGCGCGCGCACATACACGCGCGTGTAAAGACGTAACATTATATACGAGCGCATGTATCTAAGGTCGCGGCTTTCATCGCGCTCGCCCAGATGCAAAAGGGTCTTGAGAGATTAACCGCAAAGTCGCGCATTTCTACATTGCTCGCGTTCGTGCGCACATGTATTGCAATTGTGACGAGAAATTCAACGTGTGTATATCTCTCTATGTGTATGTGTGTGTATGTGTGTGCATTAGCTCTCATATACGTGTAGTCGCAGGTAATAGACAAAGAGTATTTTGGAAAGAAGCATTTGCAATTGCTGAAATGAAATTAATATTCTTTATATCTCTCTCACGTTTTACAATGATTTTATAATAATCGAATAGCTTTTTACAACTAATTACAATATATTTTATTATATATTTATATACTACTCGTTAGTTTTTTTTATTGCAAGATAATTATTGTTTTATTCTATTCGTTCAACGATTTTGATTATTTTATTCGACTTTACTAACTTGACTCGGGCTACAATCTTTATTCATTGCGCAAGATTTATTCTACCCTCGTAATGCAATCTGATGTTACATATACAGCGGCTTGTATCTTTTTATATTGCAAAAAAGCGCATATATATCTCGCACTCGTACAGTACGTTATTACTCGCGTGCGTTGGCTGAATTACCGGCGGCTATTATACTTCATCATTCTCCCGTCCCGTTCTACCGACGATCAGACTCATCGGAAGTCATGGAGGTTTATCCGCTTTCCTTTTTTTTTTTCTTTCCTCTCTCGTGTACAACAGCGGTATCAATAGCGCGGAAAG